GGGGGGGGGGGGGGGGGGGGGGGGGGGGGGGGGGGGGGGGGGGGGGGGGGGGGGGGGGGGGGGGGGGGGGGGGGGGGGGGGGGGGGGGGGGGGGGGATGTATGTGCCAACAGGTTAGGGCTGTCGACCGCGGGGAACAGCATTGTGTGCAATATAGGCTCTCTTCGTACCGGAGCCCACAGATATAGATTCAAGTTGGATCCGCTGAAGTCTACGCAATCTACCGCACTCTCAAACGCACAAAGGTGGCGGTCGAGAGAACACGGGGAGGTGTCTACAACCCAGCGGTAGATTCGTCCAAAGCAGGAGTGAGTGCGGAATAGAATGGCTGGGGCTCAGCCCAGCGAGGAGGAACCTTCTTTTCGTGTGCGGGGGCGTCATGGGTACTATGACCCCGCTCCCCTTAAGCGGCGAGACTACAGAGGTAGACGCCACGCCCCAGCGGTAGTCAACCACGCCCGGCACCCTCAACATTGCGGCAGTTGTCACTCGACCCTCACCATAAAGAGTTCATCAACACCCTGCGTGAAAATATCTCGAACGGGTGTACATAGTCTGTGGTGACAGATTTGGTAGTCGTGATGTGTTACTTCGGTACTTCTCCCTGTAAAGAATCGGAGGCAAGGAGAAGACACGAATGGCCGACACCGGGGCATGTACCTATGGAGCACCCTCTCCTGCAGAGAGATGCCGCTCGGTGAGCGTCGGCGGCGGCAGGTGCCTGCTGCGACGGCGGCCTCCTGCGCTCCCGGGACGCCGAGGCCCTTTCGACGAAGCTCCAATACGAACTGGCGGCGTAGTCGTGCCTGTCGCGTTGAAGACCAAGTGATGGTCAACCGCGCGCGGTTATCGGCCAATTCGAATGATTTGCTTCATACGTGACTCGCGGTAGGTGCGAATGAAATTGACAGAAGGTGCGAGATGCCAAGGTGTGTGTAAATTGTGGTTCGAGAGAGGGTTTTCACAAGACATACCAGTTTCGATTACCGGTGACAATGCCAGCTTCCCAAGGGAGCCTGGCATGGAACAGTGTTTGCTGCCATGCACGTTATCATGATCACTCCGCACTTGTGTCAAGTTCAGGGTGCCGGTTGCTTGATCACCCCCATTTCAAAAAAGGCAATCTTTTCAGGACCCAAATAGGTCAATATCTTGACATGCAGACTACGTTTCGGTTGCAGCGGTCTTACATCAAGCGTGTGCAGCACCAGCCCTTCTGCTGCGGTGGTTGCGATCTACATCTTCCTCTCTCACCGTAACATCATCGATCACTCCAGTAGCGCGGAAGCTGTTGCGGAGCGCGCGCTTGACGTCGTGCAGTGACGCCCCGCCTTCATTTGGCTGCTGCTCGTGGGACTCCTGTCGTATCTTCTGTTCCTCCTGCTCTGCTTGTTCGTCGCGGGTTTCAACCGCCCTCGGTCTCGCAAACGAAGCCTCTGACCCCACCGCGGATTCGAGAACGGGCATGGGTGTGGTGTACAGCTGCCTGGGGCTGGATCCAACCAACACCAGACAGACGGGGTGGACCACCACCGTCACCACCGTGGTTGCGCAGCAAAGAGATTCCGTGCATTTGTTAGCCCCCCCCTGGTATGTTTCCGTTCTGTTGTGCCCCCACGTGCTTGCTCCAGTGTTCAGTAGTGTTGGTTGGCGAACAGAATACCCCAAACGCAGCAGGGAGAGAGGGGGGGGAGAGTCTCTGCAACAGGCGCCATGTCGCGCTTTGCTAAGTTTGCGACTGGTCTACGAGAGTTCGGTAACGACATCAATGCTAATATCTCCAAGGCACTCAGCATCTCAAAGGTGAGAGACGCCAAAACGTCGGGGTGATTGTTGCATGTGGAACTAATGATTCGTAAGAGCATACTCCGATCCGCAGCACCGCTGTAGATGCATTCTGCTGAGTAGTCATATAGTACCGTAGTTGGTTGATGTCTCCAATGCCGGCATGATGTGCTTTGCGCTTCTCCTCTTCGAATTATGGGAGGCGGTGGCGGTTCCTCTTGCCTCCTCTTTCAATCAATCGAGCGAAGCCAAAAAATATGTGCAGCGCATGCGCGGAGCATTTCGTGGCACCTGTCCTTCAATCTTCAATCTTGCCTCGGAACTAGTACTGTATGTTGTACACAGAGAAAGCTCCATCAGCTCATCCCACTGCGTCTGGTCATACAGCAGAGCTGGGCGCGTGCCGTGTTAGAGGTTCGCGTGCTTATTGATGTGTCTGCGAGGGTTAGGTTGCTCGCGTAGGGCGCGTTGCCTCCCGGATGTGGAGCAATTGGCAATTTGACAGCAACGGAGTGCGGAAATTTCCACGGGCTTACTAATGCAAATATTGTTCTCTTTTTACTTGCTCCTCTTTGTACTTTTACTTTAAGCCTAATTTGTTGGGCAGTTATTCCTTTTAGTTATGGTAAGGTTATTGCTGATAGTCAGTTGGGAGGTTTATATTTTTTATCAGTATCTTCTTTAGGTGTTTATGGTGTTTTAATTTCAGGTTGGTCTAGTAATTCTAAATACGCGTTTTTAGGGGCTTTGCGTTCTGCTGCTCAAATGGTTTTAAAAATATTTAACAATTTTAATTTTCAAAATTAGTCATAATGCGAGTAAGTTTTTTTCAATTCTTGTTTTTAATTTTTTTAGGTCTTCTTTTTTTTGCTGATTTTCCACGGCTCGTTAAAACAATTAAACAAAAAATTAGGTCTAATAAAATAAAAAGGGATAAATAGGAGTTATTTAACGGTTTGTAGTTTAATTGGTAAAGAGACGCCGGAGATTTTTCCGTGGGACATGGCGCGACCACCTGTAAAGCTAACACCCTCTCCCGTCGATTCAGTCTTCTCTACTGCATGCAGCGGCGTCCGCAAGGCCGTATCGTGTAGCTCGCAGTTTGAGGATGCAATGGAATTCTCTCGGAAGGTGGAGTCACATGTTCAGCGGAGTCCTCAAACTGCGTGCTACACGATACGGCCCTGCGGACGCCCCTGCATGCANTGCTGATTTTCCACGGCTCGTTAAAACAATTAAACAAAAAATTAGGTCTAATAAAATAAAAAGGGATAAATAGGAGTTATTTAACGGTTTGTAGTTTAATTGGTAAAGAGACGCCGGAGATTTTTCCGTGGGACATGGCGCGACCACCTGTAAAGCTAACACCCTCTCCCGTCGATTCAGTCTTCTCTACTGCATGCAGCGGCGTCCGCAAGGCCGTATCGTGTAGCTCGCAGTTTGAGGATGCAATGGAATTCTCTCGGAAGGTGGAGTCACATGTTCAGCGGAGTCCTCAAACTGCGTGCTACACGATACGGCCCTGCGGACGCCCCTGCATGCAGTTGTTGTTGTTGTTTGTTGTTTTTCTTCACATTAAACTCGTGTCAGTTGCCAATCCCAAAATCTAGCGAAGACTCGGTCCGTGGTCACAAAAATGCTAGAGCCATCAGAAGATCTAAAGAACACAAACACTATTAGCAAGAAAAGGGTACGCAAGCCCGAGGAGGTACACCTGCAGGATTGCAGCATGTTTGTATGCTCACAACTGAACTACACGCCCACACACTACAAATCGACTACAGCAGCAGCATTACCCCCCTTGTCCCGCACTTAACCAAAATGAATGTTTGTCGACTACAACGTACTGCTGTCTGAAGTGCTGTCTGTACAATGATAACACCATGGTGCATGGTACACAAGCTCGGGGCATGCAGCTGCTGTCTGAAGTGCTGTCAGAATGAGTCCGTGGACATACAATGAAGAACACCCAACCAAAGCCATCATTGCAATTGACAATCACCCGAATCTATCCAGATCATCTGTGTTAGGCACAGCAGTGTGAACACCGACACTGACTAGGAATCGTTCCACATTGAAGGGGTCTTCCACGATGCAGGTACACAACTAAAAGCACCCGGGTTATCCGCGCCATCTCTGCCGCGTCTCTCTACAAAACCAGTGACGTCGTCACACACGCCCAACACCTGTACAGTCGTCCCCGCTTTAAAGACACTCTTCTTAAGGAAACTCCCCGCAATAAAGACACATTTTTTCCCCAGAACATGGTGCCCCGCAGATGTACAATAATATAGGGGGGTAGCGTTTCCACTATGCGGCCCCCCAAAAAAAAATTGCTGGGGCAGCAAATCTGTAAGGCATTGTAACATCGACAGCGGTCTGCTGCAGCCCGCACTACTGCGTGTGGGTATGGAGAGATTCCTCCCATCTGCTGGCGGGTCGTCAGCTGCCGGCTTGAGGCCATGTGGCGAACCCACGTGCCAGCAAAAGTCTCAACTCGTGTCAGCGGTTCACCAGTGCCCGTGCGGGCGATCCATGCACGCGTTTTGTGGTCGGGGCATCGGAGAGGAAGGCTACGGACAGCAGAGAGAGTGCTCGGATTGCCAGAAGAGCAAAGGTGGAGACCAGGCTGGCAGCAGCAGCAGTCCCATGGAAGTGGTCAAGAAGATGTCCTTGCCGGAGAGTGCC